ATGCATACGGGGCCTCCAGCAGGACCTCCACCGCCTACCCCGGCGGTGGCAACTGGCACGATGGCGACTGGATCGATGGCGACAGGGCCGATGGCAACTTCCACGACCATCACGATGCCACCTCTTCCGGCTCCCAATACGCCAGCTGCAGCTTTCTTGGCAGCCACCACTACGCCGGCGGCAGGAGTTATCCCGGGAGCCATCCCCGTGGTTACGACGAGTACAACGGACCCCGCCTTGGACACCTCCTCGAGGCCTCGTGTGTCGATTTCTCTGCCGCATTCCCTCGAGTTCCACCTTGACATCGTCATTAGGACGGATCCGAGAGCTCGTGTGGAGTCGACCAGCGCTGCAGATTGATGTCCTGCATAACAACATGACTACGAAGTCCATGGTTCTGAGGATGAAGGTCTTGTACTATAGTCTACCTACCGGATCCCTTCACATGCCATCGCAGCAGCAGCGCATGCAAAATGCACCTGCGCCCTTGTATGTCAGCACTGCTGCCCTGACTGCTCCATGCAGTGAATGCAGTACCTTCATCTGCCCACACTCAGGTCTCTTTGTGTGTATGGACTCCCATGCCGCCTCACATCTGCAGACTGCTGGGTGCCAAGTCTGCCGGCCGGTTCGCGGTTGCAGCCCTGCCATGCAAGGCCTCGATGTGGCTAAATGCTCACCTCCTCATGCAGGTACAGGCAGGCCGGGTCGCGGTCTATCTTTCACACCCATTACAATGTGTCTGCCAGACTCTGTTGGAAGATGGAAGACTCGAGGCGGTTACTGCACGATCCAGCAAGCCCATGCTACATCGATAGCCTTTGTATGTTGCTGCACAGGAAGCTGCTGCAATCTCCAAGGGCCGCATGCCCAACCTTGCACATCCGCTGTTGGCAAATGCCGTACATGTGTGGCCCGAGGCCTGACCCGAGAAAGCCATGCCAGGACAGATATGTCAAGGCCAGACTATTGTTGTAATCTCACTTTCTGCCTGCCACCTTGCATGTTTGTCAGTGAGACTGACAAGACGTCGTTACATACTGCAAGAGCAAAGACCTCCTTGTTGCCCTTTCCTCTCAAGGCGCATTGTTCTTACCTTGGTCTATCCAATGTTTTCCACAGCACTTTCGCCCCCATAAGTGGTAATCTGAAGCCCCTCCACAGTCTCCCAGTTTCCCTGTTGCGTGGAGCGATCATGCCACCGCCAGTGCCACTGGTTAAGAGGTATCGCTACAAACCTGGGAAACGCGAGAGGCAAGAACGCCGGGAGCAAAGAGCTGCTGCAGAGGCGACATGGAGAGCCGGACGGCCTGGACAACCACGTCCTCAAACGGTCTATGGAGGACCAAGAAGCTCAAGCTCCTACGGTCGTGGCCGTGGTGAGGATCAGAGGGAGGAAGAGGACAGTCTTGAAACTGTTCTCCTTGAAGATGAGGAGCATGCTGATGCAGAGAATGAGGCTGCAGCTGCGGAGGTGGCTGGCATTAGCCCTGACCTGGTGGAGTCAGATGGTCACATAGATGCTGGGGAGGCTGTGCCGAAGCACATGAGCGCCAGACGAGCCGAGAAGAGGCTCCCGGTTCCTGCAGCTGCTGACCATGAGGCCGTAGAGGTGACGGACATCCCACCGCCTATGACACCGCCCCAACATGTCTCGGCTGACCACCACTTTCAGCGGATGGCTGAACCTGCGCAGGCCCATGAGTTGCCTGAGGCCTCCACTAATCAGCCTGAAGGCAGCCCAGGATGGCTCTTTAATGCAGATGTCATGGCATTCGCCAGCGCATACAATATCCAAAGTGCCTTCGTTGGCGACACCGAGATCTTGATTCCCCGGCCCAAACAGGCTTTGGTACCAGGGATTACCTCGCTGACCACTGCAAATGATGACAATATAAGGGCGGCGGCGACCCCCAAGTCCTTGCATAGCAGTGCTGCCACGAGACGCTCCCGCTGGCCTGGATGGAAGTATGCGCGACTTGCCACCAACCCCAACGGCACGGAGCGACATTGGCGCACATCACTTTTTGCTATCAGCCTCAAGCGCCCTTGGAGTTGCAACTGGCGGCAGTTGTACAGGGAGATGAACTGTACCTGGCAGCTCCTTACAACCCGTGCGGTGCAGGATGCTTGGAGATTGACATGCGGCTACCGCCTTGCATTCAGCCGACGTCAGTGGCCACAGATTCAGGCCAAATTGGCCAATATAACTGGCCATCCCAAGTGCGAAGCAATTCGCCGTCTGATTAGGGCCCACCAGAGGCTTGATGAGCGCCATCGCCAGAAGCAGCATGATGATGTGCGAGCATATATGTTGGGATCAGTCTGTTTAAGTCCTGTGATTGCGGCTCCACATCTGCAGCTCTGCCTTCTATCAGTCCCTGTGACAGGCCGGCGACTACTACCGTTGACCATATCCGAAGTCTCGCTGGACAGTGTCCTGCATTCAAGATCACAGACATCCTTGTATGCTCCCCCTATGGCAGGACGACCCATGCCCAGACCTTTGCCGGGTACCACGCCCCTCAAGGCCATGATGTACTCCTTAGGGATACCCGGATATCCCCGCCCCCAAGAGGACCGAACTCTCTCACTCCAACTAGGTGTGTGCCAAGCATTGGGTCCAGCACTCAGGCCACATGTTAGACGAAAGCTGGGTCATTCGTGTTGCCGGCAGGACCAGGGGATTTGTGTGGTCTTCCACCCGAGTCCGCGATGTCAGGTCTGTTATAGGCGATACATGATTGCTACAATCTCCTGCTCCAGTGACCACTGGACAGTAGGCTCCTCTTCGACAAAGTCCTCATGTCGCGACTTCCTGAGCGAGCTAAACTGGCTCGACACTCGGCTCGGCTACATTGGACCTCTCCACGTGCAATCGCAATATCCACAGGTTCACGAGTTGTCCACGAGCCCGTCCAACAAAATAGGTCCTTGGCGTGTCCCTTGGACTGTCTTGATCAACTGTCTTGGACGAGCAGCCACTGCTTGCTGCGCCTTGCTCGACTCCAGGACCAGTGTGCCGACAGTGAAGATACTGAGCAAGATGCCAAGATGGACAGGTTTCATGGCTCTTTGGAAACGTTGGATTGACTATAAGTCATCGCTACTTGTGTATAGTCCATCCTGCTGGGGTCTACGCACTAGAAGCAAAGCCTATGCAGTCAAACTGCCTGTCCGTCTCCCGAGATATGCAGTAGCCAGGAGATGTGCCACACGATGCCGCAAACCACCCATGGCACGCACAACATCACGCATAACTAGCCACCTGGGTCCCAAGTCCCAGGGCCTCGCCATACAATTGATCCTGCAGCTGCTAAGACACCTGTACAAGCAATCTGCTATCCTTAATTGCGAGGTAGAACCGAGGGTTGGAGGTATGTGCCAAGTACCTCTGAGACTGAGCTCGACATTCCTCTATGTCCTGCTCGGAAAGCCAAGGCCTGAGAGGATAAAACTCTCTTTTCATTCTTGTTTCATGTCACCAACTTGCATGCGACTGGATCAGGCAGACACCCGTGTCCCTGATCCCCCTATCCATCCTCCGCCTATATACACATCTTCGATTCATAAACCCCCACCTACAACCACATGCAGTGCGCACCTGTCTTTGGACACACGATTGCATCCTGTGCTGCAGCACTCCTGCTCGGCCAGTACTGGGCCTGCCCCACCTTACCCCAATACGTGTACCAGATGGTTGCCTAAACGGCCACATCTGCTCCTCTTCTCCACGTTGCTCTTGCGAGAGATCAGCCCGGCCCTTACACACCCGGTGTCTACCACACAGATGGATAGATCCAGTCTTGCCCCGCAGGTGCCATCGCGCATCAGCAAGCGATCCTACAAGCGTGCTATCGCAAGGGCGGCTCAGTCACAACAAGGGGGAACAATGTATAAGGGTAAGTGGTGCACTCTCAGTAGTCTGTCAAAGCAGTACCTGCCACAGGTTCCTAATGCATCAGCCAAGCAGGCTCGTGTCCGAGGTCCACAGCCTAGTGGTCCACATGTCCGGTTTCTCAGCTTCAATTGTGGAGGTCTGAGCCATGATCTTTATGTGGAGCTTCTGAAAGCCCTGGAGGCAATGACTGCTCAAACACAACCGCAAATCATTGCTCTACAGGAGACCCACTGGAGCTCGGATTCTGCACAGCAGTACACTACCGGTGCCTGGCAGGTCATCCAGTCCCATCGTCATGCTAATCGCTCTGCAGGAGTGATGCTCCTAATCCACCGCTCCCTAACCCGTGACGCTGTGATCTCATTCAGTGAACCATTCCCAGGTCGGGTTCTTCATGTCCGCATCACCACTAAAAGCTGGGCCCTTGACTGTGTCAATGTTTACCAGCAAACCATGCAATGGCAGCGACACCTCAAGGCCACGCAGAAGCCTGACGACGCTGCACAGCCCACTGCTCGTGAGATTCGCCAACAGGTCTGGACTGCTCTCGAGAGTACATTGGCGAAGCTCCCGGTTCGGCACACTCTCCTGCTCCTAGGAGACTTTAACACGCCGATGCAGCAGCACGAAAGAGCAGGACCCAAAGTTGCTCATTGGAATAGTCGTCTGCCTTCTGATGCATCCCGTCTCATTCATCTCCTTGAAGATTACGATTTAATACATCTTAACTCTTGGACGAAACGAATGGGTCCCACCTTCATTTGGGGTGACACGCGTACCCTAATTGATCATGCCTTTACCAGAAGTGATAGTGCCGACTCTCTCGCCCGACACACAGGTAGAGATAAACTTCGGATTGGTGAGTGGCGCAAAGGAGGCAAACACATACCCATCAGTGGTGTCATGCATCTACGTCGTTTCGCTGCCTTGAATCCTGCACCAACACAATCCAAGGTCAAATGGGACAAGTCCACTCTTCTACAACTAGTGAAAGATCCTGAGGACCTCAGAGCCCAAGCCATTCTACAACAGGTTGAACGGAACATTGAGAAGTGTTCTTCTGTACAGGATATCAACGACTGCCTCGTGGAAGCCTCAGGTGACCATGCCCCCGCTGGAGCTCGAGCTAAAACAAATGCGCCATGGCAACTGGCCACCCTTGACACCAGTGTCAAGGACATGTGGTCACACTATCGCCAATGGAAAGCCGCTGCTCGAGGTACTACTGCTACCATCTGGAAAGTGTGGTTCCATTATGCCAGATTCCAAAAGGCGCATCGTGCCTTTCGATCGGCAGGTAGAATTGCCAAACAGAGCTGGTATCAAGGTAGACTTGACGAACTCAACAAGCATGCCCGTCGACATGATGTCCGAGCCCTATACCAGGGTGTGCGTGCTCTTGCACCGAAGACTCGTAGGGTGCATGTCCAACTGCGTGATGTTGAGGGTCATGTCATCACTCCAGCTGAGCAAGCAGCACTACTCAAACAACACTATGAGGCCGTGTATACGGGTCTGCAACCACAACCAGATCGTGCTGCCCAAATGCCACCACTACAGGTCACCGAAGAGCACCTTGAGCGTGCCTTATCGTTGATGCCTACCCACAAGGCAGTGCCCCTCCATCTTGCACCACTTGCTGCATGGAAGATTTGTGCGAGAGTGGTCGTCCCGAGACTGACAAAGATTGTCAATGATTTGGAGGTTACTCCTGAGCTTTGGCACAAAGCATGGTTAGCCTTGATACCCAAACTCGCAAAGCCCACGCTGCCCAAACACTTGAGGCCAATTGGTCTCAGCGAGGTCTCTAATCGAATGGTCACAAAAGTCCTGCAGGACCGATTGCGTCCATACGTAGAGAAGTACTTAGAGGATATTCCCCAGTGGGCTTACATACCTGGTAGGAGCACCCTCGACGCTGCAGCTCGAGTGCAGGCACACTGCCAACACGTCATACACCTTTGCTCTCCGGACCGATGGACAGTTCGAGAAGCCCGAGCAGGGCTACCGCGGCCCAAACAACATGCCGGCGGCTTGCAACTATCCTTGGACTTAAGCTCAGCTTTTGATGTGTTAGAATGGGTGTACGTGGCTGAGGCCCTCGATGATGCGGGTGTCCCCAGTGAGTTAAAGGACCACCTCCTTGAGTGGTACCGGAATATCCACTATGACTTCACTATTCAGGACCACACCGAGTCTGTTGCTGCAAGCAGAGGCCTGAAGCAGGGGTGCTTAGTGGCGCCCCTTATTTGGTCCCTAGTTACTGGCAGGCTACTATACAGACTGGCCCTTGCCACCGATGTCCGGTGGGTCTCCCAGCAAGTTACGGCATATGCAGACGACTTCCATGCTGCTGCCACGGCTCATAACCACCAAGATTTGCAGACTGCCGAGCGATTCTTCAGTCAGTTCCTCGATCTTCTTGTTCAATCGGGTATGATTATTAATGCCTCGAAATCTGCAATACTGTACCGGTTCAAAGGGGGCTTCGCCAAACGATGGCTCCGACAGCACATTGTCCGAGGTCCGGATGGACCACTCTTTCGCATCCGTACAGATTCTGGGCAACTCTTTGAATTTCCGGCCGTCGACTCCCACACCTATCTTGGTACCAAAATAAGCTACACTGACCCTCAATTGCAAACATTGGTGTATCGTATGGGTCTTGCCAAGCTAGAATGGAGTCGGCTCCGCAAATTAGTGTGCTCCAGACACGGCCTGTTTAAGCAGGATCGGCTGCGTATCTGGTTCTCAAGTGTCCCTCCCACACTACTCTACGGTTTAGCTGCTACAGGGTTGCCGAATGGAAACCTCTACATGCGCCACCTACGAGCCATCCTCCGATGTCCAGCACATCTTAGCCATGTCAGTAATCGTGAGGTGCTTGCCAGGGCTCATGTTCCAGACATCTGTGCAATCCTCGAAAAGGAAATGCATCGGCTTGCACATAACGTCAATAGGCTAGCCCAGCAAGACTCATTCATGGTGAGCGACACACTGCAAGGACACATGCAGTTTGTCTGCGATTCCCTGCGTGCAGGCTGTCTAACAGCCGAACAAGCATCATCGTCTTATCAAAATTCTACTGGCTCTGAGGCCGTGTTTGACTGCCGCTACTGTGGTCGTTTCTTTGCGACACACCGTCTTCGTAGATCGCATGAGTCCAGAATACATAACTCAAGGACCCCGCAATCCCTGCCGGACGCCCAGATTTTTGACCGCTGGCAGCATAGCATTGACGGCATGCCCACCTGCAAACACTGTGGCCATCAGTTCCGTAAATGGCACAACCTGCAGAAGCACATCATCAAACAACAATGCCAAGCCCTCAGAGTGACTAATCAGTCAGCGACTACGGCCCACCACCCTAAGATGGCATCCCAAACCCCTATAAATAATGATCCCATTCCCCCTGAGGCTGACATCTCTGCTTGTCCACCGATGGCACAGGCAGATACCTTACCACTCATCCACAGGCCGTCTATCCGGTCCATCCTTATCCAGTCTGGCTGGCATGCTTTACTGCACTGTCAAGAATTGCAGAGCGAGTTGGAGCATCACTGCCCGATTTGCCGACAATGGTGTATGGACCAGGCGGCCATCAAGCGTCATATGACACAGCAACATGACGAATGGGTTCAGAACTTCGCTAGTCTAATGCCTCACCTCACCCCCTTTCGTCGCCACATGGTTCTTCCTTGTAGATACTGCCACTCACAGGCAGTCAACAAGCATACTCATTGGAGGAATTGCCTAATTGTCCAAGTTAGCTGCTTCTTGGGCCTTTCTGCGAAAGTACCGGCAACCATCCATGGAGCCTATGGAGCTCTCGGCTCAGGAGAAGACCTTCTTCGGTGGGGTGTGTCCATCGCTCGTACCTCCAGTGACCAAACGGGAGAGAGAAGAGGACTCGCCAGAGATGAAGAAGGCCCGGCTGGAGGAAGCCGTTCGCCCGTGGGTAAAGCAGAATCCACCCAAGGGCAAAGGGAAGGGCAAGGGCAAGGGCAAAGGGAAGGGAAAAGGAGGGCCGACCTCATGGCGTACTTCCAGCGGGTGGACTCAGGCCGAGGATCACCAGGATCGTCGGTGGGGAGGATCCTGGGGACAGGACATGGATCTCCAAGATCTCCAAGTCACGGTGCAGCGCCTGAGTCAGCTGACGCTGCGCCACGAATATGCATTGGGGAACCTTCGCCAGGACACAAGCATGTGCTTGTTTGTCAAGCCGGGGGCCGAAGGCTTGATTCCAATCCTGTTCTCTGCGTCGGAAAAATGGAATCGGACTCAAGAGGAGAATCCACAGCTCATCGACTCGTCACTCAGGATTGTGTTGATGAAGGCCTTCCTCATCGAGCTCTGCAATCGACTGGCCAATACTGCCAAAAACGAGGAAACGATGCAGGCAGCCAAAGCCATGGGTTGGTTGACAGATCATGGGGAGTGGAAGACTCTCAAGTGGGATCCAGTCCTGGAGAAACTGCAGGAGGTGCCGGATGCACCCACCAAGCCGACGGAGCGACTGATTCTGGAGGCCAACGAACTTCGGAAGACCATCAATGCAGAGAATCTCTACAGATTCCAGTCGATCTACGGGCTTCGCAAAGATCATCAGACCTCCTGGGTGAAATTGGCGATCGAAGTGTCGCTTCGAAACCAAGGAGAGCAGGTCTGGGACATTCTGCAGGGGTGGATCGGCTCGGCGGCTTTGCATACCATGGGATGTCGACTCCGAAAGGAGAGGGGGGGCCTGTCCTACCAGGCACAGATGCTACGATGGTGACTGCAGGCCCAATGCCTCCACGGACCAGCTTGCATCCCAAACTGCCACATGATGCCGTGCAAACACACCTTGATCACTACTCGCAGGTTGTTTTTCCCGTTCAGATTCAAGATGTCCCTGCAGGTGTACAAGCTGTTATGCAGTGCCTCCTTTGGCCGTTTTGGTGCGATACCCAGCGACAGCATCTAACCCTTGGGATGTACCGACAGCTATGGATTCAGAGCATGCAACAACCCCGTACTATGGTCTCCTTAGGCCGGAAAATCCAGTGGACTGCAATAGTTCGAAAGTTGCAAAACATGCCAAAGCCAGCGCTTGATACCATCCTAAAGCTCTTCTTGACATCACACAAATCCGATGCTCACTCAGGGGAATGGGGTACTCATCCCTTTGCTACGGATGAGGTGGGTGCACACGCCAAACTTCCTGACTCCTGCATGTGTCTGCAGATCAACATGCCACTGACATACTGCACTCTGCAGGAATGTGTGGATGCTTGGGGTGCCACGTCCAGCAGGCTTTGCCTCCTACGACCAGCTGAAACCATCTTTCTTGTGCTGAAGCATTGTCGCAGGGGCTTTGATGCTGGGAGTCCACAACTCTTCACTGATCTTGAGGCTGATATTGCACTGCCAGTTGCCGCACACAACACTAGCGAAACCTTTCTTGTCCATTACCAGGTCAGGTCCACTGTGACCTGTGAAGCTGCTGCAAGCGCTGCTGGTGTATACCGGACAATGCATCGCTGCAAAAGAGAAGATCATAGCAACACACTACGTGCTTTCACATCGCCACTTTCAAGTGCTACGAGTGTTCTGCTCATAGCATTGCGTAAATGTGAATGCCAGGAGAGCGACTCCTGAGATTGGCAAAGCTTTTTCAGCTCTTGAGCATGCACCTTATCGTGCTGCAATCAACAACTACTTATGGATGGATTGACTTGAAGGTGACACCAGTTCAGTGTTAATTTGTTTATCAAGTTTTTGCATGCACTGCTGCTCTCGAGCACGGTGTAGTGTTCCCAGAGAACACCGGCATAAGTCCGTGCCTCTCGCTAGGTGGAGGACTTCCCACTGCGTGCGGAATGAATACTACTACTTACTACTATTACTAGTACAGTACTACTCCTCCCACTGCCGCTCCCATTGCAAGTGCCACGACCACGACCACTAGCACGACCACTGAAGCTACTACGACACGGCG